ATGTAGACACCATGAAGGTGATGCAACTGCATTCATCGATTTTCTCCCTTTCTGCCACTCGATCCCTGTACCATCAAAGCACTCTGAAACTGCTACATCACCTTTCAGGTGAGAGCATGTGTTGTAACTCACACGGCAACATCATACTAGAACAACCAGCACACTACAAATCGTGTGCTTGAAGCCAAGCTTCAACATCCAATGGTATATCAACAGCCTGTCTCCGGCGTCTGCTCCTGCTCGTCGTGGCCCATTGACGGGCCGTTTTTCCGCAGGACACACATTTCACATTAAATCCTTCAATCGAACTATAAAATTCCATGCAAGTCAGGCAATGAGCTTGAGCAGCATACAGAAACATGTACTCCATTTTTTTTCGACTGTCAAGACTTCCATGTTTCGCCTCGAAATCGTCAATATGAGGCGCCAAGGAACATGCTGGTGCACCGTTGTCTGCTTGTGGCTGTTGTTGAGATGAAGTTCCTGCACCTGTCTGGTGCTCAGCACCATTGCCCGTTCCTGCATTCCAGTCTGGTGGCAGCTTTCTCACCAATTCGTCCCACGCATTGTTGAAGCGCTGATTGAATGCATTGCACGCTTCCTTCTTGTCATCATCCACACATTTGTCAGGGTGATTTTTGCGCAACAACTCCTTCCGCCGGATCTTCAAGATTTGAAAGTCTTCAAACGTAACAGCATACCAACTAGATTTCTGCAGCTGCAAAACTTCAAGTAACCAACTGATCTCAGCGGTAGCAGCACTCCACATGGCCAAGGCCACAGACGAATTTCAAGTAAGCAACTTTCAATCAGTTTCGGTTAAGGAAGCAGCAATGTCTGAAAACCTGTGCTAATTTGAAAGCAAGCACCACCCTTCGGACAGTTCCGGTTAGGGCAGCTACAATGTGACAACATATGGCAACATGAGCAATGTCTGAAAACCTGTGCTAATTTGAAAGCATGCACCACCCTTCGGACAGTTCCGGTTAGGGCAGCCACAATGTGACAACATATGGCAACATGTAAGCGAATGTTGAGTTCAAATATGATGTCTATCACTTTCCAATTGAGCAGCAGTGGGAAGCGGCTGGAAAAGACTCATCGCCATATGATAACTGCTGCTCATGATGGCACAAACACTTATGCAAGGCAAACTTATCGGAGCGCGCCTTTTTCGAGACAACCGACAGCTTGAGATGTCGCTTGAGATGTCCAACAGTTCCGTAGCACCAACAATAAAGAAATAAAGATATGTGAACCTATTTGCACCAATTTTGTCTGCCAGACAAGCGACTGCAATCTTGCTCAGACAGTTCTGGTTGCAAAATTGCAACTTCTTTAAAAAAAAAAGGTATCTGCTTGCAAACACCTGACAATAGGCAACTTTGTCTCTGAACGAACTCTTGCTGGTGTTGTTGTTGTTGTTGTTGTTGTTCTTGTTCTTGTTCTTGTTCTTGTTCTTGTTCTTGTTCTTGTTGTTCTTGTTCTTGTTCTTGTTGTTGTTGTTGTCGTTGTTCTTGTTCTTGTTCTTGTTCTTGTTGTTGTTGTTGTTGTTGTTGAACCTTTAAATGATGCCATGACATTCAGCATCAATCGTGTACAAAAGCGTCCCATCCGACGCCCGCCCCTCAGCTTCCAAGGGACCAAAGTACTGGTACCATCCCTCGCCGATGGCTCTCAGCTTCTCCAGCACCTGAAGACACGCAAACAAACAGTTACCGAACATGCCATGGATGCATTTATTTCGAAAAGATTTCTCTTTGCCGTCAAAATACAACCAAATGGGTGATGCCATGCGTAGTAAATGTAACCTTGTGCGCTCCGATCTCCTTGATGTGCCCTCCTTTAAGATCCGTGTCGTGGCAGCGCTGGATGGCCTGCATTTGTGGCTCAAATGGATGCGTTTGAAATGCAAACAAAGAATTGACATTCCAGCTCAAAATGTGGCAACGAAAGACGACCCGTGTCCGGGCCTCTAAAGCAGTACTTTTCAGACCCAATCGATCTTTCCAGTGTGGCTGCACTGCCTGATGCTCCTTAAAGATTTTCTCGGCATCAGAGGGTGTCAGGCCAACATACACTGTCAGCGTGGTGCCCGCCATGCTACTTCCTTGCAGCAATGTTGTCGACGTGAAGGCTAGAACCACAAAAGCTTCAGAACTTACAATTGTGAAACTGATAGCTTCAACTGCGCAAGCTTGACACAGGCTAGAAAAACCATAGCTCTCGGGCCTGTCCAAACCAGCCTTCTCTTTTCTTTCTAAGTATTGTCTACACTCTTTGGTGTGAGACAATCATTCAAAAGGAAAACAATCTGGTTTGGATGATTCTCGGACAGTTCCGGTTGAATCTTCCTCCCAGTGTCCGCTCACTAAGTTGTCATGGCAGCGCCATCAGGGCTGACAACATACAGCAACGTCCCGTCCGACGCAAACTTCTCCGCCTCTAAGTTCTCGTAGAAGCGAAACCAGCCATCGCCAAGTCCTTCCAAATTGCCGTTGACCTCAAGTAATGCCACGCACAAATAATATATATATATAATATATATATAGATATTTTATGTATATATATATATATTTATATTTATATATCTAGAATATTCATATATAATATAAATATATATCATGTTATAGAACTTACAAAAGAAAGTAATGCCTTCTGTGGTGAAAGTCACCGTGGTGAACACTTAGTGTAACAAGATGCTGTGTAATATGCAACGCCATCCGTGGTGAAAGTCACCATGTGGGCCCGCACGGATTCCACATCCACAGCCTGCCCCTCTGACTCCACGCAACGCCGAATTGCCTGGACCAACACGGCAAGAGAGCAAAAGGGCAGGACAGTAAAAAGGAAAGAGAGAAGATGCGAAGACAGGCTGATGCGAAGATGAGCAGATGTGCATAAATGAGATGAAGAGGTGAGGATGTGAAGCTGTGAGGAGGTGAAGATGTGAAGATGATCAAATGTGCATTTGAGCAGATGTGAAGATGGAAGATGTGAGGGTGTGAAGATGTCAGGATGTCAAGATGCAAAGCTGAGAAACTGTGAAGATGATAGAAGACGATATTAGATGACAAAATAAGCACATGTGCAGAAATAGCGATGGTATTTGACTAACAAGTCGCTCAAATGTTTGCAGGATCAAACAAACATATTTCTGTCAACTTCAAAACATATTCCTAAACAGCCTCTTCCACTGTTGGCTTCAAACCCCAGCGCTGCTTGTATTTCGGCTGGACAGGAAGACGTTGCTGGAACAACCGATCTGCCGCCGCAGCTGAGAGACCAACGTAGGTGCGCAAAGTAGTGCCCGCCATGCGTCCCGGGGCAGCAACAACAAAAGCAAAAGATGTTGGAGCCAAACTGAACATGTTCAGAACTTGCTGCAGACATGCTTGTGTCCAACTTGCTAAAAAGACAACCTCAAGTTCCTAGCAAATCAACGGTTCGGTCCTTCACAGAATGCAATGATGTTGTTCCATTCCAGAACCTGGCATCCAATGAACAACGGCTAAGTGCACATACAACCAAAGACCCAGTGGAACTAGTGAAGTTAGAATTTGCCACACATGGACTATTTGAAACAGAGTCTACACGTCTGACTGTTGCCATTCACATGCAAATACCAGCGTTTGAAATTGTCAAAGCAAATTATAGTCACTTCAGAACAACCGCTTACAAAGCCAGCTGTCAGGCATTGTTCCGCTTGCCCGCTTTCACTTTGGCAGGCGTTTCTACAATGAGATCAGTACAAACAATGTTGTTCCATTCCGCGACAAGCTAGCATCCAATGAAGCGTTCAGATGTTTTGTCAATATAAGTGCTTTGCGCATCAAACTTCCGGCCTCCACGGCTGGATCTTGCGGGTTCATTGCCCAACCTGGCATCAAACGACAATCACATAGGACATGTTGATTTTCACGGCGGCTACATGCACATGGCATATCTCAACTCACTTCTGATGCTGTGAAAGTGCAGTTCCATGGCACAACCTGGCTTCAAACGAAACTGACGCGGAACATATTGAACCAACTGAATATGGATATGAAGATATAGAATCATGCATAGGGAAGCAAACATTGATTTCAAATCTTCTCCGTCAACCTACAGTCCAAAGACTCAAGTCTGATAATGTCAAAGTAAACTGTTTGCACCGTTTCTGACAGGAATAAACCAACAGACACTACCAATTGCAATCCTTTTTCTACGCTGCTGTTGCATTCTGAGAAAGTTCTGTTTGCAGAAGATTGCAATCAGTAGATTACAAGCTGCACGTTTGATTAAATGGCATTTCGACAACAGGAGGCTACAGTGGCATCGCTCAGACAGTTCTGGTTGCAATGCCAACTGTGTGTCCTCCGTTGCAAATTGAAGCACTACAGCTTAGCGACGCAACGGGAGGCTACAGTGGTATTGCTCAGACAGTTCCGGTTGCAATGCCAGCTGTACGTTCCCGTTGCAAATTTACGCCGCTGCTGAACTTGCGGGAGACATTTTTATCCTCTCTGTGGTGATCCACGATGAAATCCACTGCCATCGCAATACAAGTAGCAAGGTTTGAAATCAAATAGCATTGCAAAAAAAAACGCATTCACTATGTCACAGGCTACAGAAGTATTGCAAAGTCAGCTTTGGCTGCAATACAAGTAGCAAAAACAAGCATTTGCTATATGGTGTTTCGACGTGATCTTCTTCCTTTCTGCACTCTGGTTTCCTCATACGGCGCGTTCTCAGACATCTGACGGTGCTCGTAATTCACGTCCTGAGCTCGGAGGTCGTCCTGAGATCAGCAGGTCATTTCTCGCAGGTCATCCTGCGCAAGCATTTGGCGAATTTGTTCCCTATGTTGCCATTGCAATTTGGACAAATAAGCCAATGCATTGATCTCGTCCACCTTCGCTTGCTGCTCGAACTCTTTCATCCTTTGCACCAGTGCAGGATTGTGCTCGTGGAGAAACTGCTCGAACATGTGCCGCGGAGGCAAATCGATAATCCACAGATCATCCAACTTTCTTGGCCTCGACAACATGACATAAATCGCCAGAGCATAGTCGGGATCCTTCATCCAAGATGGCTTCGACAAGAAAGCAACAAGTCCGTTCTTCGCCAGTGATGCCCTGCAAGCCATAGTGCGTCAAAACACATCGAGGAGCCAAGGGAATTTGCTTGCGAATCACCGGAACGTGTTGCTTCGGACCCACTTGTAAATTCCAGGCTTTGTCCGAAGCAACTGCACGAAGCAACACATGGCCCCGCGGTGCCAAGTCGCCAGGCAGCTGAATGTTCTTGTAATTGGGATCATCAATCTCAACCAAAACTGCCACTGGCTGATACTTCAAAACAACACAGCCACAGTCATCCTCAATTGCTGGCTCTTTGGGATGTAGCTTGACAGACCGGACAATAACTGGGAGCTCCCGGCTCAAAAGTGGAACATCCAAAATGCAACTGATGCGCGCAGCCATGCCTTCGTACAGCGGACAAATCCCCATAAGATAGTGCGTTTTGGTCATGTTCACAATCTGCAGTGCGCTGATGCTTTGTTCCCTTGTGAGATCATTGGGACCTGTAGCTCGATCGATGGCTTGCACGAGGTAAAGAGTTTTCTTCCTTTCCTTTGCCTCCAAACCAACGCGAACATGCTGTAGACGAGCCACTTGCTCCCAAGCAAGACCGCCCCAGTGGGCATCCAACAAACGTCCCCGCAGTTCGTCGGCCTGCAGCTGCGCTGTGCTATAGGATCTTGCTTCCAACGCTGCCCACAAAGCATCCGACATCTTCTTGCCTTCTCGCATTGCCAACAAAATTTCCACAAGCTGTTGCCCAGATGAGCAAGTGGAAAACCTCCCCGACCCTGTGAAGTGCACCACTCGCTGCAAGGAATTCTTGAACAGCATCCGGCCAAGCTCAGCTGCATTGCTGGTCTGCTGCGCTGCTTCGTCCTCTCCAAGGTCTTCGTCCTCGCTGGCAGCTGCAGCCATGCTGTCAGTGGCACGTTGGGCGGCGTGCCACTCGCACAGCAAGCGCTGTGCGGTTGGGCGCAGCTGCAAAAAATCGCCCAGCTGCACGCCAATGGGCACCTTGCCGAACCACTGATCCAAGTAGCATCCCATGTCCAACATCATCCGTTCCTGCCGTAACAAAGAAAACCGAAATCCTGCCGCATGGTACACATCGGGCGGGTTCATTGAGAGTTCGTCCAAGAGCACAGCCATGACCTCGATGATCTTCTTCTCAATCGGGTCGCCCTTGCTCTTGGCTGAACGCAGTGAGCGTCGATTGAGGCCACTGTTCGGGCTCACATTCGCCCATTTGTGCAAGGTCTTGGCTTCTGGCCCAAGCAGGCGAACCGCGGCGTGTGTTGGGGCTCCCACAATGTAACCAGCATCGCCGAAGTATCGGCGGAACATTGGCCGCAGCACCTTGGCATAGGCGTACGTCTTGCCAGAGCCGCCAGCGCCCAACCACAAACAGTTGCAGCTTTCGGTGGCAGCTCCATCGGCCATCATGGAGTCCAGGTTGGAGCGATTCAGCCACATTTGCTCCATGACCCAAGCAATGGGCGCCACTGCCAAAATCTGTTGCCGATTGAGTGTGTAGTTGATGGCAAGCTCTGCTGCATAGTCGCCAGGTCCAATGCAGCGATTGTTCAGTGCAACCAAAAACGGCTCCAGGGCTTCTTCCAATGGTTCGAAGGTGTCTACTGGCATGTCATCTTCTTCCTCTGCCATGCCTGACGAACAACACAACTGCAAACGCGCGAAAACAACACTTTAAAACACGACGTGTCTACTTGCAGTGTCACATCTGGATCACATGGGTGTGCGTGTGTGCGTGTGTTTGTGTGTCACATGTGCATGTGTGTCTGTCACATACGCGCGTGTGTCTATCACATGTATGTGCGTGTGTCATATGGATCTCTGTCTATGTGTGTGTGTGTGTCACATGTATGTGTATGTGTATCACATGTGCGTGTGTGTCTGTCACATGTGCACATGTGTCTATCACATGTGTGTGTGTGTGTGTCACATGTGTCTCTGTGTATGTGCGTGTCTGTCACATATATGTGTATGTGTATCACATGTGCGTGTGTAAGTGTATGTGTGTGTGAGTGTGTGTGTGTGTATATGTTTGTGTGTGTGTGCGCGTCACGTGTGTCTGTGTATACGTGTCAGTGTGTTGTACGGGTAATTCACATTTTCCAAAAAAAAGCATCATGGGCTAACAAATATTTTTTTCCCTGGCCTCCGGCGCAGAATTCCAAGTACTGCTTCTGCAAAGTCATGCCTCTTTCAGCATCCGCCGACGTCCACGTGCGTTCAACCCCAGAGGAACCAGAACTTCGAATGCCCATCCCAGTCCTTGCATCTGGTACTCCTCCCAAAGCATTGACAAAGTCACGCAGATGACGGAGAGTATCTTTCAGCACCGTAGCACGAGGATTCCCCAAGACCCGCATCCAATCCTGCTCTCGAAACAATGCTTCCTGCAAAGCATCTTTGTCCAAAGTGTACTGTGCTCGCTCCATGCGTTCCAACTCGTCCTGCTGCCGCAAGTCATCTTCCACTTCGTCCCCCTCAATGTCCGGAGGCGCAGCATCATCCTCCAGGTCGTCATCTTCCACCTTTGTCATCAAAGCAAAGCGTTCAGCTCGACGACGACTGCTGCTGATCCGGCGCGCAGCATGGTGTTGCTCGAAACGCTCCAACCAAGTAGTCTGGACAACGCAAAGGAATTCCAGAGGAGACAGCTGAGTGTAATGATAGTTCAAGGCAACGCCCAAGCACCAAGCAATACGTTCCACAATGCGAACAACATCATGCATCCGGCAGTCGCGAGGGCGCAACTTCTTGTCCAGGACAAATTTCAGAAACTCCAAAGGAACCGTTGCTCCACTGCTTTCCATGCGAGGCACGTACCTGCGGACTGTAATCACATCTCGAATCACCGGCATCGACAAGCCTGCCAACATGCGCTCTTGTGCCGCTTCACGACGCAACACCATGCAAGCTTTCCAATGTTTCCACTGCGGCGCAAAACGACCAAAAATCATGCATTCCTTCTCATTCTTCTCGATGCTATGACAGGAAAAGCATTTGTACGAGTCGCTGCAATCACCACTGCAAGTTGGAAAAGGAAAACAAAGTCCAAGCATATGAGCGGCATACTTCTGCACCTCTGCGTCCTGTGGCAGATGCAAATCAGAAGGCACAACCACGTTGTCATCAGTAGCTCTCACCTCCTGCAACTGCAGCTCAGAAACATTTCTTTTTCGAAAAAACACAGAAACAAAACACAGAACCAAAAGTGAAACCAAAACATTCGGCAACACTTCTTTCAACCCAAGAATCCTGCACAGATGATGCATGATGCGGGTAGTGTTCGTCGAAAGCAAAAAACTTCACACCATCAACTTTACCAGCTTTGGCTCGCGGCACCCTGCGGACAAATCTTGAGTACATCACCAACGACATGCACCGCAGCAAAACTGAGGAACCACGATGCAGGTAGTCATCCTTCTGATTGAACTGCACAACAACTTGCTTCACCCGAGGTGCTTCACCTTCATCCTCCATAACCTCAGCTATTTCATCCAAAGCAACAGGCGCGTCGTCCGTGTCGGTCACAAAGTCCACTGGAGCCGCGCTGAGGTGCGGTGCATCAGCGATCGCTCCTGCAATTGCTTCTTCTCTGCACCGCATGATTGCAAAAGGAACATATCGAAAGAACATGTTGTAGCCCCGATAGGTTACATACTGCTCCTGTTCATACAGCAACTGATATGCCATCTCACCGTTGGACTTGGCCACACAACGGTTCATGCCAAAAGCCAATCGACGCAAAATGCTCAGCGCTCGGCTCTGCTGGGAACTCATGCCCGGATTTTTCTTCGCATCTGCAGCCTCCCTGCTCCCATCTTCCAAAGCAGCTTCCTGCCGCTGTTTTTCTTCCTCCTCCAATCTCTGCACTCCTGCCCACTAGCTTCAACTCTTCCAGTCGCAAAATAAGCTGTCTAACAAACACAACACATTTCCAAACATTTCAAACATTTCAACCAACACAGAAACGCGACAACAGCCCCGGCCTGCATAGAGCTCTGGAAGCATGCTCCTGGAAATTTCAAACTTCTTCGCAGCGTATTCGCCAGTGTAGAAACCAACATCTTGCATGTCACGCGACATATCGATCAGCACCCGTTCAAGTGCCATTCTCATGTTGTTCGTCTTCTGAACATCCAGCAATGTAGACTTTGACTTGGACATCTTTCTGCGCTTCTCATCCCCATGGACAGTGTCATCCAAAGCATCGTCCTGTTGCGTGACATCCATGTTGCACGGTTCCTGCTCGGACAGTTCCGGTTGCAAGACACCGGCCACAGGCTGTGACGCATCAGGACGCATAGCACCTGGACTGTGCACTTCCATGCTCGAAGAAACAGCAGCAGACAATGGAGTGTTTGAGTCTGAGCACATGCCACCACCAGAGAACTTCGTCAGGTCATCTTCAGCGAAAGCTCGGCCAAGGTATTTCACATCTACATTGCAACGCATAACCACCTGTGCCACGGGATTTGACATGCCTTCAAAAGGATGATCTCGCTGTGCCTGAAAAACATGCGGATTCTCATTCTTGAACTCCTCCAGCTTTGCCAAATCTTGCGTTTCATATTGCAACCTGGAAAAGCAAGCCTTCTCCACTCGCGGCCAACCTTTGCGGCACAAGTTTTTCTGCTTCCCTTCATCGTCCTGGATTAACTCAATGTGAAAACATCCAAAGCGACAGCCACGCTTGCCTTTGACAGCTTTCCTTAGCCATGACAAAGCTGAGACATGCAAGCAAAAAAAGAAGCAAAGTCATCACCAACCAGCTACCACATCACAACAACACAACACATCAAAACAAACGAAAGAACAAAAGTACTATTGCTTTGAGACTCTTCTTGAAACAGGACTTTGTGCACTTGTGAAAGTGATTTTGGATCACCAAACGTCGGTAATCTTCGCAAAATTTGCGTTTCCAGATCTCACCGTCACCAATTGCATGCTGCTGTCGTCTTTGATAGCTTGGCCTCAAAGATGCGTAGCAGCCTGTCAAAGTCAGGCGCGAGCCTGCGGCCAGTTCGTGACCGTCTGGCTCTGTGGGCATCAACGCACACGTCTCATACTGCCGACCACATTCTGCACGCTGACGCTCGTTGAAAGGAAGTGGCGGCTGTGAAGTTCCCAATTGCTCTGCAAGAACCAATTGAGAATCATACTTGAAGCGTTGAACGGCCTCCAGGACTCGTTGGCTCCAGCGTCTCAATTCAACGACAAGCTCACCGTGGCGGATGCGATGCATGATACTTCGCAAACGATTGCCCAAATCATGCCCCAGCAAAACGACCAAAATGTGTGGGTGAAGAGAACCACGCCCTTGCGTCTCCAACGGCCCACTCAAAGATGCGACATCTCCAAAAACACCACCCTGCAAAGAGCTAGCAACACCATCTTCAAACGTTGCATGCATCCCTGCTCGATAGCTCTCACGCTTCAACGGTGGCAAAATGCCCAAAATCGCCTCAAAGAAGATGTCCATCATGAGCGCAAAGCAGCGCGCTTGGGAGACAGGGTCCATGGCAACAATCCGTCGCATTGCTGCTGCAGTAGGCATTGAAGGCACGTCGACATCCCAGTCTAAGGCCACCTCGCACTCGTCCACAGTGCCAACTGTGCTCTGCAGATGTAGCTGTAGGAGAAGCGGGGAGCGGATGTCTGCGAGGTTCGGGGTGACGAACAAATGGGCAGACCCATAGTGCCACCCTGCGGCGTGACCTCTCAACCTGATCTGACTTCGGTGCCCTTCCATGCCGATAATGCTCGAGGTCGCTTGCAGAACACCACCTAGAGCACGCTTCAAGGACACATCGATCTGTGGGTCTCGGAGGAGCTCTCGCAGGTCGGAGTTGTCGCCGTGCAGGGCCATTGCCTGCAAGAGCTGCTCCGTGCTCACTTCTGAAATGACTCGACAATGCTTGCCAAAACCTCGGCGCATCACATGCGCTTTTGTTGCTCGCATCAAGTGAAGACGTCGATGAACATCATACATGACTGGCAGCAAAGTGTCCTTGGTTAGATACGGTCACAGAAACAACTACCATGTTCTACACACATTCCTGAACAGTACCCGCCTTTCGGACAGTTCCGGTTAAGACGGGCCGTTCAGTCACGTGTGAAGTAACTATAGTTGAAACTGGGCATTCCATAAGTATGCTCAAACTGGTAATGTTGAAAAGGATGCCTGTCTCCAAAACACAAAGAAACTCCAAGGAGCTGATAGAGACCAACGAGGTAATGGCGCCGGCTCATCATACTCCAGTTCTTCCCGAAGAAGCAGATATCGAAAGAGTTCCGAAGCATCCAAACTTGTTTCTCGTTTCAAGAAAGGTAGACCATCTCCCCAAGGAAACAGATCAGGAAACGACATTGCCCATGTTGCTGCTTCGAACATTGACAAAGGGTCATCCTGGTGGCAAAACGAAAGAAATTGCAATATAAAACTTTGCTTTCCCTCTCTCTCTCTCTCTGTCTGTCTGTCCCTCTCTCTTTCTCGCTCTCTCCCTCCCTCTCTCTCTCTCTCTCTCTCTCTCTGTCTGTCTGTCTGTCTGTCTGTCTATCTACCTCTCTCTCTCTCTCTCCCTCTCTCTATGTTCTTGCTTCCATATCTAATTTCCTTCTCTTCTTCCCTCCCCTGCCACACCATCCTGGGTCGGCACCACAAGCTTGGACGGTTTGACCTGGAACATGGCAGCTTCAGCTTGTCGATCACTCTCAGCAGTTCCACGGGCGACCTTCTGAATACGCCGGATCTTGTGCAAGGTTTGCTGCTCTTGCACACCTTCACGGCCAAGCAATTGAGTCTCAGATGCCTCTGCCGCCCCAAGCTCATTGTTCGCTCGATTTCGCATAACAGCGGCTGCTGAACTCTGCCGTTGACCCCTTTGCCGCACACACACTTCCTCCACATCTTTCAAGACGCGAACCCATTTGTTTTTCTCATCAGCCGCATCATTCAAACCGACGATGCAAGACACCAAATGGCCTCCGCTGCAAGCACATAATCAACCAGACAAGCAACCAGAAAAAATACAAACATCATCACACATCTGCAAAATACTTTCAGGAGTAAAACTTTCACCATCCACTTCCCCTGCCTGAAGCATCATCTCGATCTACTGCTTCTTCTCCAGTGGCCTCCTTCTGTGCGTCCTCCCCCTCCACTTCAGACTCTTGCCCCTGGGCATCAGCAGGCCCTTTCTGCAACAGCTCTTGTGCCAGAGCTGAATCTTCAGCGGTCTCGAGCACGCATCCATCCAAAACATCTTCTCCATCGGGGCGCACTTCGACGGCTGCGTAAAAAGGGCTCGTCCTTCGCAAGCACTCCACTGCCGCCGTGTACTCGTCTCTTGGAGCTTTGAGCAATGTAGAGCCACGCACCTGACTCTTCTGTCCGCCTACCAGCACGAACAACAATGTGTCCTGCATGTCGAGCTCCTTTGGTGGCAGGCTTGACAGCACTGCTGACGGCCGTGCTTGCGGCAAAAAGATTGTGTTGCCAATGAAGCCATGCTGACGTTCCTCACGTTGTAAGTGGGCAGGCTGAAGAACCACCACTTGCATGCATGCCCGAGTCATTGGCAGAAGCCGCTTTGTCGCCGAAGCCAAGTTGCGCAGGGCTGGTGGCTGCGCCCCCATCCATAGATCATTTGCTAAACTGAGCCTCGGCAGCGTGATTGTCGATGCAGTGAGAGGGCCTTTGCATTCCTTGCAAACAAGAGAAGCTTCCTTCACATCGGCCGGCATGCGCCGCTTGTGCAAGAGCAAAAATTGCCCTGCAAGGTATGGGTGTTCCACTGCTGACCTCCGAAGCTCATCCTCATCGATGTGCGGCCAACGTCTCTTGTACCGCTCGACTCCCAACAAGCGACAAAGACGTTCCTGCTGATTCCCAGGAATAGCATCAATCACAGTCGAACTTCTCTCCTCCCGTCCAGTCGGGTCTTCAAAGAGAAACAGCAGCTTCAACTCATCCTTCCAAAACCGCCGAGCACACACCACGCAAGCGGACTCTTCACGGCCACCCGGCTGGGGCTGCCGCAATCTCTCATCAGCATTTTCAATGATTCGGCGCTGTGTGCTGAAGGAAGGCACCTCAGTAAACTCATCCCACATCAGCCCATAACAGTATGCCATAACAACCGCAACAACATCTACAAGATCACAACAATTTACGATGCATTACTCAGACAGTTCTGTTTCCAATATACATTCTTCAAAACGCGTGGCGCCCGATCACAGCAACTTAGACAAATACGTACTTTCAACCAAGAAACATCAGGACCCATGTGCTCAAGCAAGCCAATGACTTTCTTGCGGTATTCGATCAACACTCGACTCTCATCCCCTGCTCCACGATGCTTCTCCACAAGATGCTCATGAAAGGCCTTCTGGTTGTCGGCGCTGAAGTGGCACAGGCGGCAAACATACCGATCCAGAGGTTCTTCAACATCATCACTGCTATGATAGAGGAGACGGCGAGCCAAAGCTTCCCCAATGCCGCTGATAGTTGGCGTGCAATCCAACATGGCAGCCACGCGTTGCAACTTGATGGCAAAAGGCATGTTCACATTTTCCAGAACCAAGAAAACATCCTCCAGCAATGAAGGAGACGACGATTCTTCCTCAAAACAAAGCAACTCCGTCAATGGCACAAATGACGGCTGTGGCACATAGCCTTCGTGCCAACCGGGGATGGAGTACATCAAGCTGCGTTCAATCTCCGATCGCCATTTCACTCCACCTTCCATGTCATCCGACAACTCCAAGCAGTCCAACTGCAATGCTTGCACTGAAACCACATCAGAAGGAAAAGCTTGCCTCATGGAATCGACTCTAACTTTCTTGTCTTTCTCCAAGTAGTTTTGAATCCTCTGGGAAAGCGTTCGCTGCTCCTCCATGCTCGGCAGCCGCATGCAATCGCTATCGCGTTGCCATTCCACGATGTCATCATGAAGCTGCAATACCACTGGAGACACGCCGTTCCTACGTGCAAGACTCAATGTCCAATACATTCAGTTATGCAGTTATGCGACACTTTGTTTCACATTTTCCACAAACATCACCACTGACAAGCAAATCAATTCAACACCAAAATGTCTTGAATATTCTCATATGGGTGTGGATTCTGAGTTTCACGACGGTCCTGGACTCACGCAAGTCTCGCACCACCGTTGGATTGTGATGGCTGCGCAGTCCTTCCAAAGCCGGAGAACTCCTCGTGTGCAGTAATTCCAGAACCAAAAACCAGGCGAACTCTACGCATTTGCTCTTGTTGTAGATGGAAGCCTTGAAACATTCCATCCACGAGCAGGTTGGCACTTCTGGGTCCCGCCTCTCCCAGCCATACCTGCGCATCAAGCAGCGCAGAACCATAGCATCCGCCTCATCCAACTTGCCTCGTCGCTGCTGTAGTTCGCCATCCTCTTCCACGACCAGAGCTGTGCGTCCCCATAAAATATCAAGGACAGCCTCCACAGCAATGCGGCAACTCCATTCAAAATCTGATTGGCACATGCTTATACCTAAAGATCACACCTACAGATGCAAATCACTCAACTACGAACAGCTCCATCCAACCATTCTTTCTACATCTCACCAATCATCTCCCCTAACCCCAAAGCCTCCACAACATCGGCGCGATCTTCGTAGCCACTGCCAGGTTGCCATTCACAGTCCGATCTCAACATGTGTACATCCCAAAGGCGTGCAGCGACATCATAAACATCGTGTTCACGTGGAAAATCCACAAGGCGACTCCAAGCACCTGCAACAGGGTATATCTATCTGCTGGAAGCAAAATACAATTCTCTTACTCTGTCAGATGATTTTCAAACTTCGGATCCCACCCATCGCATCCCAACGCTCCAACCTAATTTCTGCATCGACACGATGTCCCGGCAGCTTAGCAAACACGTTAACAATGCAATGCTCTGGTGCCGCGAAAGGTTCTCTGTTCCGAGGCAAGTAAAAATTCCAGGCACATCCAGCAAGTCCTTGGGCGGTGCAACCGGCATGCGTGACCTGGCATCTTCGATGGCAGCCAGCACAGGCAACGTGGCATCCACAACACGTGAGCATAAGTGCTCGTCACTCAAATGCAATCCTTCAACAGTGGACAATGATTTGCCGGACAAAATCGACAGTAGCCTTGTCCTGTGCTCCTTCGACGCCACTGTTTGCCTCAACAATTCCGTGCCAAGTGCTGCGTCGCTCTCGCAGCATTGCGACACCCAACACCAAAGTCTTGCACCGATATCGTTCCGATCATCCTTTCTCTCCTGACCGACAATCAGAACGAAAGCTGTGCTTGTTTTGACATAACTAGTAGGTGAAGTTGCAAATTTCCTCAAGCTCTGAAAATGTCAGGATGTCGAAATGCATTGCTGACATCCTTTTTGACAACACTCAGTCTCTCAGCATTCCACCAAAACTAGTGGCCCGAGAGCGTAGAGGAGCAGAGTCTTCTGTTGTTAGTATGGAAAGACTATATTAGAAGACAATATGTTAAAGATGTATAATAGGCAGACAAGAAGAGTAGTATCAAGACAATAGATCACAAACACAAGACAATAGTTTGCATCGTATCTTTCGTATAGTTTCTTCACACACAGAACTTTTCACAGACAGACGTTTTTGCACACAGAGACTTTTACACACAGACGCTCTTACACAAAGAAGCTTGTACACACAGACGTTTTTACACACAGACGCCTTTACACACAGACGCTTTTACACACACATGCATTTACACACAGACGCGTTTACACACAGCAGTTTTTACACGAAGAAGCTTGTACACACAGAAGCTTTGACACACAGACGCTTTTACATACAGGCCCTTTTAAACAAAGAAGCTTTTACACACAGAGAGGAGCATAGAGAAGCTTTTACACACAGACACTTTTACACAAACACATTCACACGCAGAGACTGTTACACACAGAAGCTTTTACACACAGACGCTTTTACACACAGACACTTTTACACAAAGACGTTTTGCACAAAGAGGACTTGTACACACAAACGCTTTTACGCACAAACACTTTTACACAAACACATTCACACGCAGAGACTGTTACACACAGAAGCTTTTACACACAGACGCTTTTACACACAGAAGCTTTTACACAGAGAAACTTTTACACACAGACGCTTTTACACACAAACACTTTTACACACAAACACTTTTACGCACAGAGACCGGACCCGTGAAATCGCAATTTTACCTCAGTTTTTAGCGATCGAACCTCATTTCGTGCGAAATGGTTCCGAGTGGACAAGAGAAATCGCAATTTTACCTTACTCCACAGTTTTTGGCGATCGAACATCATTTCGTGCGAAAGGGTTGCGATTGGACGCCAGAAATCGCAATTTTACTTCACAGTTTTTGGCGATCGAACCTCATTTCGTGCGAAAGAGCTGCGCGGGAACCCGGGAAATCGCAATTTTACCGCAATTTTTGGCGGTCGAACCTCATTTCGTGCGAAAGGGTTGCGCCGGACACCTACAAATCGCAATTTTACATCAGTTTTTGGCGATCGAACCTCATTTCGTGCGAAAAGGTTGCGTCGGACGCTTTGCAAATCGCAATTTTACCTCAGTTTTTGGCGATCGAACCTCATTTCGTGCGAAAGGGTTGCGTTTCGTGCCGTCTCGTTGGCACTGCCCCGCGCCTTCAAGAGAGAAATAGAAAAGAAGGAGATAGCAAGAGGGCAAGAGAGCAAGAGGGCAAGAGAGCAACAGGGCAAGAGAGAATGTGAAGATGAGAAGATGTGAGGATGGGAAGATGAGAAGACGATGTGAAGATGTGAGGATGTGAAGATGTGAGGATGTGAGGATGAGAAGATATGAAGATGAGAAGATGTGAGGATGAGAAGATGTGAGGATGAAGATGTGAAGATGAGAAGATGTGAAGATGAGCAGATGTGAAGATGAGAATATGTGAAGATGTGAGGATGTCAAGATGAGAAGATGTGAAGATGTGAGGATGTGAAGATGTGAGGATGTGAGGATGAGAGGATGTGAAGAAGAGAAGATGTGAAGATGAGAAGGTGTGAAGATGTGAAGTGGTGCTCAAATTGTGCTCGGCTGGTGCTCAAATTGTGCCCGGCTGGTGCTCAAATTGTGCTTCGGCTGGTGCTAAAATTGTGCTTTTCTTGTGGTCCCTCTGGTGCTCGTTTTGTCGTCCCTTTGGACCTTTCCTTGCCCAGGCTTCTTTTTTCCTTTCTTTGGACAGCTATTTTTGCGGTCTCCGTGTGCTTTTTTTGTGCTTTTTTTTTTTGTGCTTTTTGGCGCTCTTTTTGTGTCTGCTTGTGCTTGTTTTGGCGGTTGGTACTTACGCGTCAATGAAGTTTTGCGATTTAGGGTTCGGATGGGCTCAGGGTTTAGGATTTAAAGTTTAGGATGGTTGCCAAGTTGCAAGGACTGCCTTGCGCTCACAAGAACATTGCCATTTTCCCACATGGCCAATCTGACTCCATGCTTCAGCACATTACGGTACATTGTGCCAGTTGCATCAAGCGGCCCAATTCTTTCACAATATGTTCCAGCCCTTGCTACAATGCAGATGCCTTGCCCGCACCTTCTCAGGGTAACGCATGAATGTATTGTCTATAGTCTGCACTCTTCTTTTCTCAATATTCCACAATCACTTCGCCATGGAATGCAACTGATATGCTTGAAAGATCTTGACAGTGAAGCCCCTGTCTTGAAATCTGAATTCTGTATCAGGGGTTTGGAAGGCAGGTTTGCGTTTTGTTTTTGGCACCTCCTAGCCGAGATTTTTGGAGCAATTTCCTTGTGCTCGTTTTGAAAGGGTAGGTTAAAGGAAAATTATTTATCTGCTGTTACTGGGCGGGGGGTAGATCGAAAGTATGATGTAGGTGAGGTAGATGATATGATGTAGATGATATGAAGAAGGTAGGAGAGACTAATGTAGGTGATGTTATGTAAATGAATTTGGCAGTCGTTCTTCGGGAAAAACCCTTCGCAGGAGCTTTCGGGAACTACGACAAAAATTTACCTAAATTTTCGGCGACGTCAAAGCTAGTAAATCAACAACATTGACGCATTTTTTTTGAGCTCTCTACTAGCTGACTCAAGGCTGTGCTATTTAACTGATTGTGTTTTAAACACAACGGCCACAAAGGCTTCACAGAGGAAGCGCCAAATCTCCAACTCCAACTACTCTGCCGTTAGAGATGGAAAATTTGAATGCGGCGAAGCAGCGCCTCAGACCCAGCAGGAAGCATGAGCACAGGTTGGCGGTGCTATTTAATTGATTGTGTTTTAAACACATTTAAACAGGCTTCACAGAGGAAGCGCCAAATCTCCAACTCCAACTACTCTGCCGTTAGAGATATGGAAAATTTGAATGCGGCGAAGCAGCGCCTCAGACCCAGCAGGAAGCATGAGCACAGGTTGGCTGTGCTATTTAATTGATTGTGTTTTAAACACAAAGGCTTCAAAGGCTTCACAGAGGAAGCGCCAAATCTCCAACTCCAACTACTCTGCCGTTAGATGGAAAATTTGAATGCGGCGAAGCAGCGCCTCAGACCCAGCAGGAAGCACGAGCACAGGATGGGCCAAGCTCTGGAGCATCTTCAGCTTCTTCAGAAACCTCAGCCTCTTCAGAAATGCGACGGCGGCTTGTCCCAACTCTCTGTTGCGAAGATGATCCAAAGTTCCTGCGGGAGACTTGCAGTAACATAGCATCTGCTAGGACTTCAGTCACAACGTCGACAGCATGAAGGTCGTAGACAGTGAGGTTGTCCAGGCTACGAACCCATTCATGCTGTTGACCCTCTGCCGCTGCGCTGATACAGTGGGAGATCTCAATGAGTTTGTCCAATACCTTCTCATTCGTAGCACATCTTCCCAGGTTCAAGATCAGGTCACTGTGGCTTCCTATGACTTGCCGCTGGAAAAGACTCCAGACGCAAGTGCAAAGCATGAGCAAAAGAATGCCGGCGATGCTTGACGAAAGAAGTGTAGCTAAAATCTCTAAGGCTTCCATTTCCACACCCCCGTCGTCATTTTGGAGTCCCAAACACACGAACAACAAGAGCACAAAAATCCCAGTCGAGAGAGAGTCCACGAGATTTAGTATCGGAGCTTTCCACGGCTGAAGCCACATTTGGACGCCAAGATAGGTCAGGAGTATGCTCCCCATCATTGTCAAGCTAAAGCGGGGCATGTCTGGGACGACAACACCACATAGGGGCAGGACGCCACCTCGAACGAGCAAGACCAAGCCAAACCACCAAACCTGCGGTCTGAAGCGGAAGATCAAGAAGCGAATCGCCGGTAGTTTCTTGGACCAAGTTGGTGCCCTTGCTGCAGCATAGAAGCAGGCACTGAGGAAAATCATCAGCACGACCATCAAAGAAATTCCAAAAGCTTCCATGTGTGGACTCTCACCACAAAGGACGTTTGAATGCTGTGCCACGCTGTACTGCCCTGTGGGATGCCTGTAGCACACGAAAGGCACCCTGCTAAGAGCGGCCAAGGTCGTGAACCCAAGTTGGAAGATTGTTCCCATGACTGAAATTGTCTTCAACGGATCCCAAGCCAGACCACAGCGCTTAAGGAAGATATTGGACAAAACCCACGCGGCTGGTAGCATCAAGGCCACAACGTAAACGAACGAGATCTGCAATCCATACTGCCATACGTCAGTACCTACTAGACAGGCGGTGGCAGGGGCCTCCAGGTTCAAGAATACACTTGCGACTTCGAACAACTTGCTGAGAAATGGAGGCCAGTCCATTCTAATGCTGTTCACGACGCCCAAGTTCTGGAAAAAGGACACCATTATGGCAATGCTGGCACCAGTACACATGAGCACACTTGCTTTGGCACTGAGGCTAGATGTGATCGCATAGTAGGAAAGGACAACTCCAATAGCAAGGGCTGCAGCTCCAAGAGCCCATGATACCACCGTTGCTGAGGTACAGGCCTCGCACTTCGAAGCCCAGTACTCCCCATTTGGGCAGGCACCACAGGTAATACCAACCCGACCTCCGGCGCAACTGCCAGGGGGACCACCGGGGCAGAATTTCTCAGAGACACACTTGTGGACTTGCAGTGGAGTTGCAGGATCACTGTGGAATCCCTCTATGATCCTCAAAGCATTGGTTTCGTGGGCCTTTGACAAGAGAGCGACAGTACTACCAACTGGGCAATTCACGCCCAGCGGGCATTCCAGGCACGCTCCATCTTCC